GACTTCCTGTGTAAAGGATACACAGACAAATTCCTTCTTACTATGAAGTATGGTAACTCTGAAGGGCCATCTAAGTTCTAAAACTTCTTATACGATTACCCAAAATCTAAGTGTCAATTGCATGAGGGTCAACTTGTTCTTCTGTCTTTGTTTTTGAAGGCACTTTTCAATAAATCTTCAAGAGAGATGTCATTATCTTACAGTTATTTTTTTTCTAGGGAATTCAGTCTAAAGTAGAGTTTAAGTCTTTTATTTTGCTCCCACCTATTTAATTATGAAAGGTCTTGATTTTCAAAATTGCAAAAAGTCTCTGTTTTCATATCATGAATAAACTGGGGTATAGTCACTCCATATCTAAAATTCATCATTCACAATGAATAGCCCCACTTCTATAAATAAAAATAAGTCAGACATGTTAAAGATTCCAAATAAACCTGTGCATTTTAGTAAAGTCGCTATATTGTTAAAGAATAATGTTTAAAGAGATGAAAAAAGGAACAAATTTACAGGAAAAAATAATTTAAAAAATCTCTCTTTTTTTTTTCCTTTATGGCATTGATTCAATAAGTTGTTCTTCATAAATTTCTGCAAACTTTATGGGTGCAAATTGGGGAAGTCAAAATTTGAGGAATCTTTCATGCATGTTTTATCATAATATATATTTTTTACCACTATTTTATCATTCTCACTTAATGAGTTATGACTCAATGGAGAGTTATTTCTGAAAGGAACATATTTTCCACAGTTTATGACTCACTTTGGAAAATAAGTCTATTTCTCTAAGATACAAACCAGACAAGTGAAATTTTAATATACACTAGATAAAAGTAAGGTCACTTCAATGTGATTTGTAACTTTGTATTTTCTGTATTTTCTTGATTATAACCAATATCCAAAAAGTGGTATCATGTTTGATGAAATAAGCAGAATACAAAGCTTTTTTTTTTTCCCATACAAAGCTGCATGTGCAAAATTGTCACAATTATGTGAAAATATGCAAAGAAGACTTTTAGGATTAACCATTGATTTAGGACTTGGAAATTAATTTTTCTTATTTTATTGCATTTTCCAAATATGCTGTGTGACTATAAATTTCATTCTCAAGACTTCTTAGATAAAATTTTGTGAATGAAATAATTTTTGTTAAAATACCAGTTTGAAGGTTGAGATATTTCTTTAATGTTCTATCAAGATAGAGGCAAAGTGATAGTATAATTGCAAATTAGAGAATTTCTTTACTTCACAACTTAGCATCAAGTATTGACATACATTTCATTGTGTATTTCTAAGAACCACCTTTGTCCACCTTGAAAACATAGAAGGTAAGTGGTGTTTCACATATAACCTATACTGACAATCCTTTTAATTTTGTAAATTGCACTTTCCATCTACCAGGAAGTTGGTGGTATCTGCAAACATTTAATTCAGGTTACCTAAGAGTTGTGGTTCAGTCACTCAATCATGTAAATAACTAGAGTTCTCTGTTGCAGGATATATGAAGAAAAAAAAATCTAATCTGGATTGCACAATTCTTCTTTGCTTAATTCCTCAGAATCCATTCCCACACACATTGCCCAGATTTTACACAATATTTATTAATTAAATCCTTCCATCCTCTTTAGTGTGAGCTTCCTCCTGAGATTAATATTTAATTGCTACCCCTCTGAGCCTTCAGACTGTAGCTACAAATCTGGAAACAATAAGCTGTGGTGGGAGAGAGGTATGAGAATTGTTCTCTCTCTCTCTTTTCTTTTTTGGTAGGCTTCTTGCATTTCACAGAAGGCAGGACTATTACCAAGTAGAAAATAATTGGTCCTATTTTAGACAGCTGGAGTAATTTAATGTAAAACAGGAATGTCTGAGGAGAATTCCTCCATCAACCCACTGAAGTTTGGGAGTTCTGTAGTTTTCCAACTGTACAACATCAGAGAATTAGAGAATTTATTTAGATTATGCTATAGCCTAATGATCTGAAGAATTAAGGTTTATGTGTGTACTATAGTTATCTCAAATCTGTGCAAAGAGTTGAATGTTGGAATTAAAAGAAAAATGTTTTTAGTCTACTACCTTCAGAAAAAGATCATAGTTTTCATTTATGTCTTGACTATAGAGGTTAGAGATATGAACTTACCATTCTTTTTTTTTTTTTTCCCCCTGTGGAACATAAAAGAAATTCTGCAATTTGTCATGAAATTTAAATATAATGTGTGTAGCAGAGGGTAATTTTCAGCCTTGTCTTAAAAGTGTAAATCATTTCAGATGAATATCAAAGATAAATCCTTTCCCATGGATTGCCAAGTTTTCATCATTGGATACAAAGTGGATTTTCCTACATTCATTCTTATCCATTATAAACATTTGAGTTCAGTGTCTTGTCTTTTTCATTTCCTTGAATCTCTCCTGCTGTCGGCAGTTGCTGCTCTTACTAGTTTCTGGCCTACTCACCATGTTTAGATGCAAAAGCCCAGACTGGTTGATTGCAGGGTAAGTGAATTGGTCAGGCGTTTTACGCAGCTAACCTCTGTGGCTAACACCCGTGGCCTTGAACGCAGGGGGCCCTCGGGAGGTGGGCGTGGACATGCATGCGTGATGGTGGAAACCTGGAGTGGTGTGGGCATGCGTAAGTGGGCGCTCCTGAGGCTGTGGGCTCAGGCTCTGCCGGCAGCTTCATTCTGCGGTAAGAACGGCGCAGAGGACACGTGACCACAGAGTGGCAAGACCACGAGAAGGAGGCACCACAGAGAGCCCAGAGTAAGGGTAAAGATTCATGGGGGACTGGGTGGCTCATTTATCTGCTGGACTCCCAGAATCCTAGCCTGCCCACCATGCACTAGGTTCCCCAGATTAAATAAAATCTTCAAAATCCTATCCCAGAAGCATCTTGATGAACCTAAACCTGAACAGGAGGTGCCATTTCTTCAGTACTGGCTACTGTCTAGAAATCTGGCTATAGCTGGTACCATCATTGTAAAGTGGGCTTCTAGTTCGCCTTCCTTCACATGAGTATTGAGGTAGGTTGACTAGCCCCCAAATTCAGGCACATCCTAACTCCTGGAGCCTGTGCCTGTGTTACATCACATGGCAAGGCAAGGGTGTGGTTAAAGTTGCAGGTGGAACTAAGGGAGCTAAATGCTAATCAACCAACCTTGAGATGAGAAGATTGCCTGGGTTATCTAGTTGGGCTTAATGAAACTGGAAGAGTCCTTGTAAGTCAAAAGTGGGAGGCAGGAAAGCCACGGTGATGCAACTTAATAAAAGAAGCCCAGATATTTCTAATCTAGTAACTGCCTAAAATAGAAGTCCTAGTAATTTAATTTTCAATGTATAATTGACTTTCTACCATCTGTCTAACAATGCATCTATCTCCATGCATGTATCTATCATCTATATTTCTAGAAACACATACAAGAAAGTCACATTGGTTTCCTCTAGTATGGAGAATAAATTAACTGAATTTTTGTTTTTGAAAGTGTTATTTTGTAATAACAGAAAATTTCAGATTGTAAGCCCAAATGTGTAAGATTGTATTTTCATCCATAATAAATTAAAAGAACAAAATGTTGATAGTGGAGAAGGACTGACCCAAAAGGATGGTGACAATAGTAGTAGAAAATGCTCAAGCTTGCAATTATTTGTACAAATAATGCCTGGTTTGCTGTCTCTTGCTTACCTCCTGCTAAATTATCAGCCTCTTTATTCCTGATTGTTCCCACCTGGATGTCTTCATTTACTTTTTTCCTAATTCCAGGGACTAACACAAGTAGAATACCTTCAGTTTTTATTATTCCCAAGTGTTCATCTAAATTCCTTGTAAGACTCCACTCTTAGGATTATTTCTATTCTGAACATAGGTTTTGTGTTCCTGATGGTCATTGCATTATTAAGCTAGTGTGATGTGATGTGATGTGACATGATATGATATGCCTAACCCGGAACCCTCACTATGTAAAAGAATTGCAACATCACATGTAAATGGCTTTAAGGGAGCAAGCAGAAGGAGTTTATTGAAAGACACAGGACAGCTGGGAGCAAAGCCACAAGGATTAAAAAACAAACAAACAAAACAAACAAACAAAATAGGCCAACTTCTGCTAGCAGCAAGGACAGATAAACATCCACACAATAGGGCGGGCTCCTGAGTGGGTTGCTGCTGGTGAAACATCTTCAGTTTTAATAGTAAGGCTCATGTTTTGGGTGTAGGGGATGCGCTGTAGTGAGTGTGCAGTTTCTTGATTCGGCAATCTTGGCCAATGTTCGAACATGGATTTGCTGGTGACAGTGTTAGGGACTTTCTTCTTGATAATTGACTTTTCTCTCTCGTTATGTCTGTCTGGGGGTTCCATGTCTCTCGAGGCCCCTGTCCTTCTCTCTGCTATTATGTCTTGCAGGGCCCCAGTTCCTACTTTATTATCAAGGTCTAAACCTTTGCTAGTGAATTAGAATTGAATATGCCTTTTGGGGGGGTTAAGGGGGGGATCATTAGAGTTCTTGTGTGTAGACAAGCATTTATTAAACTTATAAAAAGTGACAAGTACCAGCAATGTTTTATTATGATATTTTATTATGGGTGTCTGTAAGAAAAAAAGATCAACAACCACATACAAGTTTACAAGTAAGATTTCAACACATTCTCTGTGTTATTTGTGACAAAAACAGCCCATAATTTGAATTTTGTTGTTGTTGACTTACAGGAAGAAGGAAGAGAATCCCCTGAAGTGATAGGCCAATAAATCTTTTTGACAGGAAACCTGTACAGATGGTGTGCATTTATTTTTTGAATACAAGACAATTCTGATGGAGGGGTTTTAAAGTAAAAGCAGATTAGCACCATAACTTGTGTCTTTAAAGCCTTCCCAAATATTGATAGTCTTTACCAACACTTGGAAAAGAGAAAAGCACCTTTATAAATGGATGATATTCAAGATTGAAATAATTGTGGTTTAAAAAATTAAATTCTTGTATTGCACTCTACTTTCTACCACTGTTTTAAGAAATTAGTCAATAAAATTTATGTTTTGCAAATTTATACATTTTCCCCTAGGACTTATACAAGTCTTTTCTAGGATTTATAAAATTCATCTGTATTTCTGACCAGGTTGAGGTAGTTGAAACAGGGATATCTTTCTAATTTCATGTTTGACTATTTTAGAAAGGTTATCTTTTAATAGTAAGCATAGTCATTGTTCTTCAGATGGGCTAAGATTCAAAGAATGTAACACAGTGTTATTGTAAGAGTGTTGAAGTTTATTTATTATAGCACCATTGAGACATTTTGAAATTGGAATTGGTAAAAAAATAGAACAAAAAGCATTTGAATTGTAATTGGTCTAACAGCAAAAAAAAAAAAAAGTATCCTTTTTTGTCAAATTATACTTTTTCCAAAAATTTTGGAAATAAATAACTGGAATTTAGTTGGTCACTTGTACTGGTTGACAAGATTAGAACAAGAGGAACACATATGGAGTGTGAAATTTGTGGCTGGGGTTTCAGATAGAGTTTGGTTTATAAAAAGCAAACAGGGCCAACGTCCACACCAAATTCTTGATCAGGGCCACCGATATCATAGGGTGCAAAATCTACAATAGGTAGCCTCATGGCCTTGCGTGTTCGGTACTCGAAGACTGTTTTGCCCCATTCCCCAGTGTGTTTCTGTAAAAAAGAGCAAAAAAATATTGATAATTATATTGCTATGACTTAGATATTTGCTCTGACTGAGAAGTTACAAAGAACAATTTTTGCTTGAAGGAGTTTTCCTATGTTATCTACTTCAAAGCTATTTTCCTCCCATGCCACAAATCATACTGTTACCAAAAGCCCAAGATGGCCTCCGGGTGAGCCCAGCATGTTGTCTGTTCCCAGAAGGCCTATTTATGGTCATTGCTTCTAGGTGTTAATGGGTTTACTAAAAGGTTCGCTAAATTTGTCTGTCACATGGAATTTGCTATAATAGAAGCTAAAATTCCTTCTATTCATAAATGATAATAACAAAGCTTAGATATAAATTGAAAAGAAAGCAGTTTTTAGAATGAGTCCAAATGATGGCTGTTATATAAATCTATAATAACTGTCCAGGTTATCTGATAAACTTTATTGTATAAACTTAAATTTTAGTGCTTTCATTTCAGCTGGTTTCACCTGGGGGTTGAGAAAATTTATTCTCTTTTTAGTGACTTAACATTGTCTTCAGTGAACCAGTAGGTTTCATATAATTTGTACCAAACGACTTCTTTTGTTCACTTGCATTATTTTCATTTCTTCTTTTCAAAATAGCACAGTTAAACCAGAAAAGCTGTTTATGACCCATGCTTATAAAAATGATGTTACTTACAGTACACCCATCCTCCAGAACTGTGTATGTGAATTTGCTGTTTCCTTCTGCCTTGAATTCACCATCATTCGACCCCATCAGTCTCAGGGCTTTCTTTACATTCCCACTGGCATGATCCATGTATGCAATGCTGTTCTTGCAATGATACGTGATGTTCTGTGAGGCCCGGCTGGAGAGAAGTCTGAGGAAAGCCAGCTGGACATCGAGGACATCTTCAGGAAGTTCAGGATTGCCATAACTAAACTGTGATAGGAAACAAATGAGAAAACTGCTCAAGCATTTTAATTTCAACTCTAAGTAAGAGATGCATATAATATGTAATGCAAGTATAATATGACCAGTATAGTGTGGGAGTTTCATATGGGAATATTTTATATAAACATGTTTTTATTGCAGGCAAAACATGCTACTGGAGAAAAGAATTAAGAGAGGTTGTTGTATACAACAAAGAGTTCAGTTGAACTAGCTCTTACGACAAATCATAAATCACCTGAATAGAAAAAATCAATGAGCTTTTCTGTGTTACCAACTAACTTTGCTTTGTGATAAACAAATGGGAGAAATAAAATGTGGGTTAAGTAGGAATCATTTAGTGTTTAAAGCTATCTAATCCTTTTTTACCTGAAAACCACCATCCATGGTCTCTCCAAACCAAACATGTTTTTTCTCAGCACTGGAGTCTGTCCACCATCTCTTCTGTGGAACATTTGAAGGACTAGCATTTATACATGTTTCCCCTGTCTCCATATTACAGAATACTTTTATAGCATCCATCTTGCAACCTTGGTTAGGATCAACCCAATATTCTCCTACAGAGTCACAGAAAAGAACAATGGGAATTGGTTATAAATTTAACAATGAAATTTGGAACAGAATTTTTGTGTTTATCTGGTAAGGCATTCTTAGTTTTGACTGTTAATGTATTTTAACATACATGCATACATGCATGTGTAGTTAGGTATTTTACAGTAAAGCATAATAGAGAAATTTTTAGATTGAAATCTTTGAGGTAAAATGGTTAGCATAACAACGATAAATAATGAAATAAAAATGTTGAAGCTTGATGATATACTAAGTCAAGACATTTGACTGTGTATTGCAATTACTGAACTATTTTTTAAAGATGATTACCTATTTAATGTAGTTTTGCTTAATAATATAAACTCTTTAACTAATCTAGATTTATGCTAATGGGCCTAAACTTTAAGCCTCTATCATCAATGGTTGTCCTCCATTTTAATTTCCAAAAAGGACTCTTAACAAAGGCAATGTTTCATGTTAAGACATTTGAAAGTCTGAAATAATTTTGCCTTTCAGAGAGAGTTACCCCAACACATTATAGCTTACATTATTACAGTATTTTATTACACTTTTTACAATTATAAATTATAATTTATAAGTTGCTGAATAATAAATTATTTAATTTGAATAATTTAATGATTATGTCTATTACAAAATGCGTTTAAATATTACAATAAATTTATTAAAAATAACAATAAAATGATACATAGAAATGTACTGCTATTTGTATACAAAATTATCCTTAAATTTCCTTACATTTGAAATATTTAAAAATTTTTGTTACATCTTAAATACATCTGCAGTTTATATTGCAATATCATTTTCAAATTAACATGCTTTAAATATTCTTGCTGCTATATTTTCTACTCATAAGCCTGTTTTATTTTCCAAAGAAAAGTAACTTTGTTTATAGTCCTACTGCCACTGTTATGGAGGACACCCAACATACCACTTTTGAGCTCAGGATGGCAGAACTTCAGGTCTCGGCAGTTCCGAGCAGGGTTTTTGCGAGAACCGTCAGGGCTAATGAGGTTTTCTATCTGTCCATTGACAGATTTGAGTGAAGTCATAATCTCTTCAGTGTTGATTTTGAAGTCCATAGGCTCATCTCCATAATATGGGGAAAAACCAGCTTTTTCACCACCACCAGAGATGGCCGCAGCCCCACCGCAGCATGGACCTGGGGCACCAGGAGGTCCAGGAGGGCCCGGCAGACCAGGGTGGCCTGGGGAACCCTAGGAAAGGTAGAACGTGCAACACGGAACTGTAATTCTTTGGTCTCCACTGATAGAATATGATGCTATCTCAACTGCAAACATTATAAACAATATAGCATGTTTTCATAATTATTTGGTTTATTTTATGATCAAATGATCAACAATTTAGAATAATTATAATTTATAACATGAAATATATTGTGTTCAGTGCTATATAAAAACAAATTTTACTTTATCATGGTTCCTATTATACAAGTGAAGTGGGCAGTTTTAATGCTGGTATGACAGAGGGAATTTGATCAGAAAATCTAGGTTCTGATTTCAGGTTTGACTTTAACTGTTTGGGATTATCACTTAATTTATTTGTGATTAAGTTACTACATGTGTGACTTGTGAGGTAATTTTTAAATTCTATTTACAGGTGTGGGATAGGAGCCCAAACAAACCCTAGAAGTAAAGTGTGCTTCATAATCCTTATGGTGAGGGTGGAGGAGTGCATTTGGTTAACTGGGTTCATGTTCTTATCCTGATATCACTAATTGAATTATAAAAATGTGTTTTCCAAACTGGTTATGTATTGAAGAATGCCATGAAATGACTATTTTCTAAATCAAGGTAGATTAAATGTATTACAAAGCTTTTCTGAAAATTTGAATATGCCAGCATATTAAACTTTATAAATGCAAACTGCATATTGGTAAATGGTGTCTTACCTCAGATCCTCTTTCACCTCTGTTACCTCGAGGCCCTGGTGGTCCAATGGGACCTGGGTGTCCACTCGTTCCATCTTTCCCAGGGGAGCCGCTGGGTCCCACAGGTCCCTAAGACATAATGATATTACAATGTCAGAATATCCACGTGAGGTTTAGTGTTTTGAAAAACAGACCTTCCAATGTTTTTCTGATACTTACTCTGGGGCCTGCAGGGCCTGGACTACCGATTGCGCCCTGGTGACCAGCAGGACCCTGAATGTAAAAGAAAGGTGAATTTGAAAGAAAAATTTAAGAAAGAAGGCTCCAGAAATATAGATATCAAGATTTACTTTTCTTCTAACTTTCCCATGATTTCATACCAACTATTATCTCAAATCACACATTGAACCCATTTCTCATAATTTTCGCCATATACTTGAACACTTTTCTACTGAAAGTCTCTGTTTAACTTGTTAGTTAAAATATGTTGAAGTGTTATTTTCTATCAAAGTCAATGTACTCACTGGAGAGCCGGGGGCACCTGGACTACCGGGGAATCCTCGATGTCCTTTGATGCCATTAGAACCACGTTCACCTGTTTCGCCTTTGTCACCACGTGGGCCTTGGGGACCCTTTATAAACATGTTTAAAGTTAATATACAAACACATGCATATTGGAAAAATAAAATAGAAATTATGGACATTAATAAGTTCATTTTATGATATTCTATCAGCTAGAAATCCCCATGAAGTCATGTAATTGTAAAGATATATGGGATAATAAAGGTTGTGCTTGTGGTTGTTAATGATTTGGGACTGATACAGAGTCCCAATAACTGGTGTTTATATCCTTGACCTCAAGAAAATTTTAGATGCTGTATTAATTTTCTGTATTTCAAAAGTTTAAATTCTGTTCCATAATTACATATTTTATCGAGTGTTATTTTATGAATATGCCAGAAAGTAGAGTATTTTCTATACTGTAGAATGAATAAAAAAAAGAGAAAGACTTACAGGTGCACCTCGGGAGCCAGCAGGACCTGGAGCTCCAGTGGGGCCAGCAGGACCCTAAAATGAAGATAGAAAAATGAACAGTCATACAGAAAATGACCTATTGATAGAGTTTTGTTTTACTGAGTTAATCATTTGATTGTGATAGAACAGCTGCATGCACACTATTGAAAGCTGATTTTATCTTCTAGGTTCTTTCCCTGTTTTCTGTCTAAACTGGGAACCTGAGAAAGTCCTATTAATTCAGTTTTATATTTACTCAATGAACATATACTTGTCTAATACTGTTTTGAATTTGAGTAATTAGTTCTTCATTGACTACTACCAGAATCATATTGTCTATCTTTATTATTGCCATTGCCCAGGAAATGACTAGCATAAAAGCTGTAAAGCTCAAGTTCAGTCATTTGGTAGGCAGACCTGACATTCCATCTTTCACCTACTAATCTCTTTATGAAGTGACATGGACAAGTAAAGGTAAAAGGCGCTTGTTAGAACTCACAGACTCTCCTCTATCACCACTCTTTCCAGCGGGACCAACAGGGCCAGGTGGGCCCGGATGACCAGGAGCACCGGGGGGACCAGGAGAGCCATTTTCACCACGATCACCCTGTGGATAAATTCATAGATACGGAATAAATATGGTCAGCAACTATGATTACTATTACACAACCTCTGTGCCTTGTTTGTTATACCTTGCCACCAGGAGATCCGTCTCGACCTGGCAGGCCATCTGATCCAGGATTCCCCTAATTGAAGAAAAAAGTGAAGGAGAAAAGTAAGCAAATGCTTTGGAACCATGTAAAGAGCATCGAAATCATGCATTCTCAACAGGAGCAATATCATTCTAAAGAGGATAAAATTGTGTGTGGAAATCTTAGTTATTATCATGGGTGTGGTCCTTTAAAGGATAACATTATCTGAACAAATATGTAGTATATTTGTGGTACTTATATTTCATGGGGTGAGAGGGAGAAGTGATTAGGAGAAAAAAAATGCCTTAGAGGGCTGATAATAAAAAGCTTGAGATACAGTAATGTCAGCTGTTAATGGAAATTGAAAATTTAGCAAGACTAATCACAGATAAAATTTTAACCAAAAGAATAATGAAAATTAAATCTCTTCCTACTTCTAATTTGTTTATTTAACTAGAGCTCAAACTCCTATCCATTAATGATTATTCATTGGGTAAATATTAAAGATCACGCACACTCAAGTTGCGTATTAAGTATTCTAGTTGTTCTAGGAAAACTATCTTTGCTAGAGAAGGAACAGTTTCTTTGGCATGTAATAACATATACAATCTTAAGTATCGAGGCCCAGTTTGACCCTTGCTTATATAAACTGTCAACTACTAACTTACTTCCTAAGAACCAACACTTACATCTCTTCCAGGCTCACCAGCTGTACCGGCCAGGCCAGGAAGCCCCTGGGGGCCCGTAGGTCCCCGTTCTCCAGGGAGACCATTAGTTCCTGGCTTTCCACTTTCACCCTGTGTACAAAGGAATAAGGGAAATTTTCTTTTAACTCACCTTAAGGTAAGAAATCAATATTCTTTTGTAGATAGCTTTACTTCCCAGGGAAAAACCTTGTTTCATCCAATATCTATTGAGTTATTCCTAACATTCTCCCCTCCTTTAAGGAAGAGGATTAGAGAAGCAGCTTCTTGTATTTTCCAACTCTCCCAGTGACAAAAGGCTGAGTAATTACATTCATTATCTTATTCAAATTACATCCTATTTTTGGATGTGTAAACAGACAGCTATGGCATGAAAAAGAAAATAATAAGTTACCATAAAACTATAGGTGTAACATGGTCATTAGAATTAAATTACACTGAATATTCAGTTTGGCCTAAAGAACATACTTTACTAGATATGCCCACACAAGTTAAAAACACATTTTCTATTGTAATTTCACAGCAATATTATATAACATTTAGTTTAAAGGGTTCTTGAAGTGTCAAAATGTAAACTTAATAAAACAGAACTTCATTACCCTATTAATTTAATGGATATTTAAGATACTAAGCACTAGGATATCATAATAATATTAGGAAAGGAAATTCAGGAGTGCTAAGTGAATTGAATTGGTGGATAATTTTTAATCAATTAATTATTCCCAATGACAGTCCATAAACTGTAGAACGCCCAGAAGTTTCCTAACAGGTATTTGAGATTGTGAGGTATTTGTTATTGATTTATTTGTATTTATGTTCAGGACTGGAATGTGATGTACACTGTTTTGTGTTTTTTTTTTTTTTTTAAAGATTTATTTGTGCATACAGAACTGGGGTACAGGCCAGAGGATCAGGGGCGGCGAGAGGCTTCACCAGAGACAGAGTGGGGAGCAGAACAGGCAGATCTAAGAAGTACACTGCTGAGGGGAGCAGCGGGCGGGTCAGGAGAGGTCTGCCGCGCCATGTGGTCACCTCCGGGGCAGGCGGGAATCGAACTCATGCGGAAGCGGCTTTAGATTCTCAGTGCTGCGCTTTAACCCGCTGCGCCACCAGGGAGGGCCCTGTTTTGTGTTTTGAGACTTTTAAAAGTATTCACAGCTCTTAAAAATAAAAATGTATCAGGAATTTGCATTTATTACAGAAAAGGTTATTCAGACCATACACAGTATGGTTAGATGAGCTTCGAACACTCTCAAAGGACGCAAGACACAGGGACAAGTACACTTACCTTGATGCCTTGCGGGCCAGGACTTCCCCTAGGACCTATCATGCCTGGTGGTCCTGCAAGACCCCGTGTTCCGGGAATCCCTGTGATTCCACTTGAGCCTGGAGCTCCCTGTTGTGAGAAAAGTGAAGTCTTAGCTCATCTTTGAATGACTGTGATTTGTGTACAGAAGTTGGATTAAAAATAGCATAGTGTTGTCAGTCCATAGGGCAAAGAAGCCACTCACCGGAGGGCCCGGGGAGCCAGGTGATCCTTTCTCTCCTGGTTGCCCAGCATCACCTTTTGGGCCAGGTGACCCAGGGTTGCCGGGAGCACCACTGCTACCAGGTGGACCTGGAGGTCCATCTTTGCCTGAAGGACCACTGGAGCCTGGGGGACCTGGGTTACCCTACAAAGAATTATTTGATATGTGAGTATTTTCTAATGAATCAGTGAAATTTCCCCTATATTAGCTCACTCAAATAATTTTATATTAGACTTATACAGAGAAAAGCAGCAATGGCTTTCTCAACTTAAATATCACCTTTAAATGGCCCTTATGAAATATAGGGTAAAAAGAAATCCTTTAAAAACTGCTTACATTACTACCAGGAGGACCAGGAAGACCACGAGCACCAGGGAATCCAGCAGCTCCCTGTGAAAGGAGAATGCAGTTTTGAATTTCAAGTATATTAAATAACAGATCACTAAAATTTGATAGAATCTATAGTCTACTTTTGGGTCATTATGCTTCTTTATAAAGTACTCATAAGAGTAAATTATTTTAATTTTTACACTACCTTTCAGAATCTAATGCTCTCAAGCCAGCAGTGATTCAAAGTGGCAGCAATTAATGCTTTTCAATTATAGTTTGGATAATAATAGGTAGAGCAATACTTACAGGACCTCCAGGACTGCCACGTTCACCTTTAACGCCTTGGGGGCCGGGGGGACCCTAGAGAGAAGGAAGGTAGGAAAGATTTACCAGAATGGCACTAAAATAAAAATTTGGGACAGGCAAATTTATTATAGTGGTCATTCTGCAGTGTATTCACATATCAAATCATTATATTGAATATTTTAGACGTTCCTAGTGGCATATGGCAATTATATCTCAATGAAATTGGGGGAACTACAAATGAATGAGAATCTATTGTGGAAAAATATTAAAACAAAAGCAAAAAAAAATACCCAGTAACTCTGTGAAGAATGTAAAATTACTTGATTGGGTCATATCTAGACTATTGAACTTGAACTTCAAACTCACAACTCTATTTCAAAGAACACTGGTCCCTTATCATAAGATGTGCTTTCTCAATATGGAATAATAAATTCTTGATAGACCTAAGTATGTCATTAGAAGGCGTAGACAATGAGAATACTTACAGATGGCCCAGCACCACCAGGGGGTCCTGCAACTCCAGGGGGGCCTCCTTCACCTTTCTCTCCAGGAGCTCCTCTTTCTCCTTTACCACCAGGTTCACCATTCTGGCCCTACATTTACAAATAATGCAGTCTGTGAGCTGATACCCTTCACACTACACTTGGCTGACTGTTATATTTTTTAGAGAATAGAATTTTTCAGATAAAGAAAAGAAGTAGGAAAAGAAATCTCATTGAAGACAAGGAAAAATACAGTATTTTCATCATAAAAGTAAATTATCAAGCAAGCATTCAGATATACATTATTTGCCTTAAGAGAGGAAGTGATTCCAAGGACTGCATTTGAAAGCAGCTATCAGTACATTCATTTGACTAAGATGTTAGGTATTATTTTAATTAGCTTATAGTGGAAGAACTTTTCAAATCTTCTGAGTGCTTTCAGGGTTCCAGGTGAGCCTTGTGAGCCAGGCAGAAAGGCAGGGCAGGAGTTTTTGTCTCAAATTTTTAAGGATTAAGACTAGAACTAAAGCAAAATCATCAGGTGAAAGACAATTTCTGGATGGTATCAGATGTGGAATATAAATAATCAAAGCAAATTTGAAGAAAATACAACAAAAACAACTCATAGACTGAAAAATATGGTGGTTAAGAGGAAGAAAAGGGGGTGGGAAGAACTGGCAGAGGGGGGTCGACTCGAATGAATAGCACCAGAACAGCATGAATGGCACCAGAACTTTGGGGGTGGATTTGGTGACACACACACACAGGTTGAGGTGTGAAGCTATGTTCCTAAAACCTACATATTAAGCCAGCCAATGGGAAACTGGTACCATTTTATTGGAAAAAAAAAACAAAAAAAAGGTAGCTAAAAAATGGGGTAAAATGACTCTTTAGTGAATGGATACTGGTCCAGACACCCCATAGACTTCTGTTATTTCTCAATAACAGAAGCCAGTGCTTTTGGGCTGCGGGATAAGTGTGCTCTAACATACTTACAGGAGCACCAGGGAAGCCAGCAGGTCCTGGAGGGCCATGTTCGCCTCTCTCACCCTGCAAGGATGAATATCCTCATTAATCTCAGTAGGGACATCGTCCCTTAGAGTGAATATCATTCTCTATGTCATGTTATCTTTCCTTTAAACAGGAAATACAAATGATATAAAAGAGTTGAATCTCTGAAGATTTCTTTTTCAACAAAATTAGGAATGGACCACACCAGATCATTAGTCCTTTTGCCTCTGTGCTATAATTTGCAAGAATAATAATTTGTAATGTGGTAGCATATATCTGATGGGATGTGAACTTATGCTTCTCATTCATATAGAGTGTGGTAAGCCAAATGTTAACTCAATAAAAAAAAAGAAAATAATTTAACAAATGTAGCTATATAAATTGATGGCTATGTTAATTAGCTAACCCAAAATGACACCTGAAAAAAATTGTAAAAGAAAAATAATTTAAAAAATTTCAAGTGCTTAACACATTTAACTATACAACTTATAAAACATGGTAAAATGTTGAGAAATCAATTTATGAATTAATTAAAAATATATAAACTTTCTGAGTTATAACCTTTGCAGGTAACACATTTTTGCTCTAGAAGGAGCTTCAAGCAAAGGTCCTATGGGTTTTAAGACATACTATTTTGTTTTTATAAATGTATATGACTTATATAGTATTTATATATTTTTAAAGAGTTATGTAGCATAAAAGTATCATTTAATATGGTTTCATGTTTTATGAGTGAAGAACTATAAATCTCACTTGATATTATATGATTCCTACAGACAGTAATTCCAAATTGAGACCTGTGGCCTCGGGCAGAACAGCTAACAAGCAAAGCATAAGTAATTGTTGCCTCTAGTGATTAAAAACTATGTTGAAATTTGTCTAACACTTACAGGGCCACCACGTGGACCGGCTATGCCAGGAAGTCCCGGGGCACCACCTTCACCCTGAAAGATGAAAACGAAAATACTGCCATCATCTGAAATGCCAAAGACATTTTCTTTTTGTTTCTAAATAGAGCTATGTTACCTTATCTCCAGGCTGACCAGCTGGGCCAGGGGGACCAATGGGACCAGTAGGACCCTATAGAAAATAGAAATATATTTTTAAATTTGAAGATAAAGAATATCATTTTCCTATTAAACAAAGTATATAGACTTATCATTGATCTAACAAGCTAGATAATAAGATTTCCTTTACAGCTGGAATAATACATACTTTATTGAGTATGTACATACTACAGAGCCTAGAAAATCCATGATTTTGGAGATGACTCCAAAGGAACATAAGATTGAATGACATTTTATTGATTTATTTCTTCTATTGTAGAGAATAAATAAGATATGATAGAAGATCTTAGAGTAATATCTTTTAGAATTTAAAGAAGATTGCCTTATTTAGTTGCTTGATAATTTAAAACATCTCATTCAACTATTCCCAGGATCATACATATTGTTTTCAAATACTGTAAGTTTTACTCAGATACAGAAAATGTTAGTTGCTTTGCAAAACTACATGATGGTTCACCTACTTAATCTGTCAAAAGTTGTAATGTTTAAAGGCAACTATAGTAAATATGGCACCTATTCTGTGTCCTACTCAGTTAAGGTCTATTTCTCTTCAATACAAGGACTCACCCTTGGGCCGTCTTTCCCTGGGGCACCGTCAGCACCCGGACCACCTGGTTCACCCTGTCAAATAAAAGTCAGTGTCACCAAATTAGAAGTATCTTTGATATAGAGCTCCCAAAAAGAGGAACAATCTCAAGATTCACTGTGATGTGTTCTTAGAAATAGTTACTCTAGGACTACAACTCAAATTTCATTTACTATTAAATGACAGTTGATTTTTAAAAATAGATTGTTTTCCAGGAACAATCCAGCTGCTTTCCTTGCACCTATGAAGTTTGTTTTGTAGAATAATGAACAGAAAAGAGGCCAATACCTTGTCACCCTTTGGGCCAGGACCTCCAGGGCCTCCTCTTTCTCCTGGCATTCCTTGTATACCAGGACTGCCATTATTGCCAGGTGGTCCAGGGAGACCTACAGGGCCCTGAAATCAAAAAGGGAAATTGCAATCCATGGGAAAGAAATGAAATATATTTTGTGAAATTTAGGTGAATTGAATTGCACAGTTACCTTTCCTCCTTCGGGTCCAGGGGGACCAGGTGAACCTCTTAGTCCTGTGGGACCCGCTACTCCAGGGGGTCCACGTTCACCAGGAGCACCAGCGTCACCCTGTAATTGGAATGTGACATCTCTGTTAGAAAACCTAACACAAAACCAAAGCAGAATTACCCTGAATGGATGCAGTCCACTAAGGTTTTAATTTAAATTTTTGTAGCATTTAGAAATATTTATAGTTCTAAGTAACATTTCATCAAGAGAGAGCTAGAAACCTAGAGTTTAAATAAGAGAACTTTCACATCTGACCTAATGAAGAAAATCTAAAACTCTTATTTTATTCATTTTATTCCAAAGTGTGAACATTTAACGCTCTACCAAAACCAGTTTTCTATACAATATCAGTGCACTGGGAAGAATTTCCTTTTGAAATTTCAGATCCATAGTTGACTCTACAGTGTTTATTGATGACAGAGAATTTGATTTTCCCAATGAGACAATTTTAATATACTGTTTGAGTTGCCCTAAATGTATTCAGCAAACATTTGTCATATTGTGCTTAGAAAAAAGGGAGTTTAGTTTGAGATAATAAAAGCATGCCATTAATGAATTGCTCCCTAATGTGCTGGGGAAATTTGGAAATAGTTTGGAATACCCACCTTGCCTCCTGGGGTGCCAGGTGCGCCGCCGTCACCCTTTGGACCCTAGGTCATAGGCAGTTTATATGATTAGACCTATATCAGAGTACATGTTTTATAAATAAAAGCTAAATACAAATTTGTCTCTTTTGTATACCATGCAATTTGTCAAATCTTGAGTTATGGACATTTCCTTAAGTTCCATTTATTTGGTAGACTTCAAACTTTTCCTATTATAGCTATGTTTGTATATATATTTTTTGTTTTGTTAATGTTTCAAAACTTAATGTTAAAACTCAGATATTATGGTTTGAGAAAATGCAAACATTAATAATTGATACATAACTATTACTTGTTCTTTTGGTTTAGGAATTTTGAAAAAATGGATTGGGACTTACTGGTTCACCAGGTTTTCCATTTTCTCCTGGAGGGCCATTGGTTCCAGGTATGCCCTGCAAAGATCACAGGAGTATTATACAATCATCTAAACATCGCTTATAGAACATATTTCATATATGATTCTAAAAGGCATTGAAAAGTGGCCTTAGAGGCCTTTTTTAGGGATGGAAGATTTGTAACTCTCAAAATCTAATGATAGAGTGATGATGCTCAGTATTTTATAAAACTATATTAATTTCCCTTTATTCTTTCTGTTGCTATATATAAAATGAGTCAGCAAACATGGTGAGATGCGTTTAATTATGTGAATTGAAGTTACAATAAAATAAGTTTATGCATATAGAATTGTTAATTATATTTAAAATACATAAAAAATGGAGTCATTCTGAAATAGGCATGAAAGTTATGACCGCAATTTTAGTAATTTTATTTAAAGGTAGAAGACCAACCTGTAATATTTAACTTAAGATGAGTTAGTATACTGAAAAACTGAACTATCAGTTGATTCAACAAATACAACTATCAAAGGGAAAGGGAAGTGCTTAAGTGGTAAAAGTAGGTGTCGAGTGACATTTAAATAACAAATTCTTACTTGTGGCCCTGGAAGACCAGGGGGTCCTGATTCTCCTTTGTCACCAGATGGTCCCTGTGCAAAAAAAAAAAAGATGCTCCATTATAATAAAATACCCTTTCATATGTAGTTTATATAGATTTCAAGCTTAATTTAAAAATAATGAAAGAGGGAAAATTTTCATCTGTGGAAATGACACATGGGAGACAGGTCCAAAATAAGTTTGCTTAATGTCAACATTTAATTAACTAATAAGCAATCTTTGTAATTGATTTGGTGAATTTAATTATAAAGTGTCAGAGATTATGTAATTCCTGGTCTTCCCTCCCCCCCCCCACTTCCAACTCCAATTTATGGGAGTAAACTCACAGTAGGCCCTGGGGGACCCTGAGGTCCAGTTTCACCATTCTTTCCAGCAGGACCCTAAAAAGAAAGCAGTTAGTGAAACACAGTTAACAAAGGTAACAGAGGGAACCATTCGATTGGAAATAAATCTGATGGTTGGAAATAAATTACTAAGCTACATACCTGTGGGCCAGGACCCCCAGGACCACCTCGTTCTCCATTCTTGCCAGGAGCACCCTAAAGAAGAAATCTTAATTTACTAATTCTCAAATGAAAGAATTCAGATTTTAATGATCCTCTTTCATATACACACACACCCAAATAACCAAATCTACTTTATAGAACTATTTTCCCATACATGTTGCCTTTTCCCAGAATTCCATAGTAAAAAAATTTAGCTCCCATCTCACAATGTATTTGATTTTCATATATTCTTCAATGCTTTGAAATAGAGATCAAGTTTTGACCATTCCTGAACCAACACTCCCCTGCTATAGAAAGTAAAAGGTATCCTCTCAAGTAGCTACTGAAGAAATGAAAGAGGAACTCACATCATTTCCTTTAGGACCAGGGAAGCCCATGACACCAGGCTGACCTCGGGGACCCGACGGGCCTGGGGGACCTGGTCGACCACTTTCTCCTTGACTTCCCTAATGAGAAAAAGAATCACATTAATAGAGACTCGATATAAGGCTGATCAGATATGCAATAGACAAATCAAAATTACCCAATATTTTTCAAGGCTACGCTAAACTCTACATTTCATTATTCACGAAGCTTCTGTAATGAGACATAATAAATGTACTTACGGGAGGCCCTGGTTTCCCATCATTGCCTGGTCCTCCTGGGCTTCCAGACATACCCTAAATTAAAGAGCTGTATCAGTCAGGTGATTTAAAAATATAAATGAAGTACAAGTATACTAAAAAAAAATCTAAAAGTTTTAGATTTCTACTTACATATGCGGTCTCAGAGATTTACACTTTTTTGTTAGTTTATAAATTATCTTAGTCAAGTGTTCTACCTTTTTTGTTCTTCAACCTATACTAGTCTACGTTTTCTTAAAGGAATTTTGTTTTGTTTAGTTTTGAACCCACAGAAGAGATGGCCTGATTTAGCTTGTCTTTGATCCTTCTTCAGAGCCTTTCTTGTTAGAAAATTGCAGGGTTATTCAAAAAACTGTGTCTGTACCCTCAATCCTGGACCTCCCGGGAGACCATCACGGCCTGGTTCTCCAGGAGCTCCTCTGGGCCCTGCAGGACCTGGACCACCACGCTCCCCAGAGGGACCCTAAGATGTGAAATAAATCGACAAATAGGTTAAAAAAAATCATTGACCAAGACAATGACAATATTTAGGTTACAACCAATGAGCTCTATTTGGTCTCTCAGAAGTGGTAAGTTGCTGACATGTTCTAGTCAAAATCACAGTTTGTACCTCAGATTGTCACACTGGAAATATTTTGAGGCAATGTTGAACATCACATGCTTTAGAAAGCAATATTTAGTGGGCTTAATATATTTCTGTGCATTTGAAGTGAAAAAAATCACTGAAGATATTACTTCATATTTGTATAGCACTATCAAGTTTTCTTTTTTTAAAGATTTATTTATTTATTCATACAGAACTGGGGTATAGGCCAGTGATGTGGAGAGTGAGAGGATTCACCAGAGACAGACTGGGGAGCAGAACAGGCAGATAGACAAAGTACACTGCTGAGGGGAGCAGTGGATGGGTCAGAAGAGGTCTGCCACGCCATGTGGATCACCTCTGGAGCAGGTGGGATCAGCTCATTCGGAAGTGGCTTAAGCTTCTTAGTGCTGTGCTTTAACTCGCTGCGCCACCAGGGAGTGCCTGCACTATGGAGTTTTCAAAGAAATTTTAGATATGGGTTTATCTTTGTCTTGCTAGGATGCTGAGATAAAAAATCTCCCAATGAATGGGCAGTCAAAGGATTTACATAGAGATTAAGTGATTAGTTTTAGTTACAAAGCAAGGAAAATTGTTGAGCTGGGGCTAGAATCATTGGTTTACTTTGATAATAATTTTTGTAAAAACTGATTTTTTTAAAAAAGATATTTAGATTTTTATTAATGAGAACTTGTAGAGAAGATTATACCTGCATCTAGAGTTAACCTATTTCTATGAAAATAGAAACCAAAGCCACCTACCTTTTCTCCTGGAAGGCCATTTGCTCCAGCAGGTCCTCGGAATCCGGGAGCACCCTGGAAATAATAAAAAGTAAAATTTCCAGGGCAAAACAATAAAATATTTTCATGCTTCTTGAGTGGCAACAGAGACACTCACATATTACTATCAATATTTGGGCTCGGATACTATATAAACATAACAGTTTCCTCACCCTAAAGTTCAAGTTCAATGTGGATGATAGCAAATGATTTTTCTCTTGGTTGCGCATGGAAAAATTACCCTTTCTCCTTGAGTTCCGGGAGTTCCATTTGCACCAGGTTCTCCAGGTGAACCGTCTTTGCCATCTTCACCTTTTGGTCCTGGAATGCCTGGAGAACCAGCTTCACCCTAAGAAAAGGTACCAAAACACAGGAATAGTGACTGAATTTGTTTGCATATTTTTAGTTGCTTAAATTCTAGTAACACTGTTTTGTAAGGGATAACCAAATGTTTTTATTTGGGGTAATGCTTACTCGTTCGCCACGTGGTCCTGGCTCTCCTTTCGCACCATTCTTTCCGGGTTCACCCTAAAAGATACAAAATCTTGGTTTAAAATCATGGAGAATAGACTAACACAATCATCACCAGTAACACCTGGAGAAATTATAAAGCCAAAGTAAAATCATCGTAATGCAAGTGAACAAAGCCCTATTATTTATATTATTTTGTTAGGAGAATTAACCCACACATTTTAGGCAGTAAAATAAAAATAGGAAAACTCACTGCACCACCTCGCAGTCCAGGCACACCATTGGTGCCAGGTAGTCCTGGGGGACCTCTGGGCCCCAATAATCCAGGAGCTCCAGGAATACCAGCAGGGCCCTAAAAATTACCAAAGAAAAACAACATTACACAAATTAAGACTCTGTTGTCTGATTAGCTAAAAGCTCACACACATATTGTGCAAAATTCAAAGGAAGCCAAAATGTGTGTGTGAATGAGAGGAGTGTAGAGGAAGGGCCCCTTACCATCTCTCCTTTACCACCAGGGCTGCCATTGTTCCCAGGGGGACCCTATAGGGGAAAAAGAGATTTTGATAATAATGTAAATCGTGCACATATAATTGCAGTTGTTTTTATATTTGTAAAGCAAATTATCTGGTCACTGTTAAACTTTATAGAATTAGAGAATACTGGCAACTAGAATATAACACAAAGTAAAGGCTGAAGAGTATCATTATGTGAATAAATTAGAGACAATGAGCACCTGTTGTAAATTTTAATTGTAAGTGAAAGAAAAGGTTCTTGGTCCTCTTTGAGTTTTTCTTCTTGGTGACTTGCTTGGAACACATTATTCAATGTATCAGATAATTACCCACCCTCTACTTAAGATTTATGCAAACAAAATTCATAAATCTGAGAAGAGTAGCAAGCCTTACAAACTATAGTTTTCAGTACAAATCAAACCACTATTGCAGTACTGGCATTGTAGAGCATGAAGAAGTAATTTTAACTGATAGCAATATTAAAACATATGCTTTCATGCAATAAATGAAATAAAACTTTCCCTTTTAACAGCCTCATTTGCTACTTACAGGAGGACCTGGAGAGCCAGCATGTCCCTGAGGTCCAGGTTCTCCTCTTTGTCCAGGGGAACCACTTGAGCCAGGAGATCCTGCAGGTCCAACTTCACCCTAAGGGATATGCCCTAAAGAGTCAATTTCCTTTGACACTTCTACTTACCTAACCAGTTTAGTCTTAAGGCCAGTCTAAGCCAGTCTCCCAAATTCTGGAATAGTATGACTGTATATTCTGTCTAAAGCAAAGAATCATCAATAATATATAGACAGAGGAAATGAAAATTGTGTGTGTGAGTATGTTATCTGTTTTCCAGAAAACACTGGAAAAGAGTAAAGGCATTAGAATAGATATCAGGACACTTGAATGCCAGGATTAATATACCCATTTAGCTATATATATATATATATATATATATATAAAATAGTTTA